CTTCGTGATGATTTATCTAAGTCAGTGTATTCAGATGGCGTTTGCTTGTTTTGATGGCCAATGACGTTGGAATACCGTCCGGAATAATCCGTTCGAAGTTAGTCTCGTGTTCAAGCTTCGCGAGTGATTCTATAAAGCGCTTTACGGCTTAAGTAGTATGAAGTTGGGATTTCATGTGAGCGTAGAATGTCAGCTGGAATTCTGTTTATATTTAATTCTTTTTGTGTTTTGATTCTGGCGTACGTTACCTAAAATTCGTAGAGTCAAGATGTTAATGCCTTGGATTGAAGATTGAGATGACGATAAAATAACGGGATCCCTGAATTGAACCTGTCTTGTCTAGCTTGTTGCCGCTACAAATTTCTATATAAACATACAAATGTAACTACTAATCTAGTAACTATACTAATCTACTGTAATTCGTCATACATTTTAATCAAGTAAACGGTCGATCTGAAATAAATCCGGTTTTCGATGTTTCAAAAGCATTTTTATTTTAACATCGACGCTACGACCTCTTATCGGTTTAGTCAAGGTCTTAATACTTTGTGACTTCCAAGTTGTAGAATATTGAAAAGAAACGCATTTATTTTAATAATAATAATAATAATATTAAAATCTAGGGAAGAAAAACAACAGAACAACATTTCTATACTAAATATTGTATTATCCATTATTAGTCATACTAAGAAAATGTAAAACAAAATTTAATTTTTCTACCAGTGAAAGAAAACAAAAAAAAAACTCGACTTAAAATTAATCCAAACATTGTACAACGAATTTTCAAATGCAAACAGAATCGGAAAAGTCGAATTAAGTCAATATTAAGTCATTCGATTCAATTTGTTTTCGTTATCTGAAATGATTCCTTATTTATTCACAGATTTTCCTTGTGAAAAGTCGCTATAAAATATTTTAGTAAAGCATGGAAATTTTATTTATAACATTTTAAAGACAGACTTTCATTAATGTTTTAACATTTCGGTTACTTATCTGTCTTTCAGCGTCATAGACCCATCAAGTAAGTTCATTGTCAGCCGAAAATTTCGTGCTACAAGTGTAGTAATATAAATTCACAATCATATTTATCGGCAGATCATGCATTAAAGTCATTATTATAAAGGCGAAAGTTTAGATGACTGAATTTTTCTTAGAGTTTGTAGCCTAAACGGCTGAACGGATGTCCATGAAATTTGGCACAGGTTTAGAGCATAACCTGGAAGAACACATAGGCTACTTTTTATCCCGGGAATAGTTACGGTTCCCGTGGGATTCACTATTTTAGTTTTTTTTTTAATATTTACTCGATCATTCTGCAATGGTTCAACATATGCATCTTATTGAAATTTGGCACAGATATAAAACAAAGTCTGGACTATCCCATGGATAAGGTTCATCCCCGAGAAATATCCGGTTCCCGAGGGATACGTAGCTTTTTGTTATTTATATAGTTTGTATGTTTTCTAATACCACGCGGACGAAGTCGCGGGCAACAGCTAGTTATTTAATAATAGCAATGTTACATTTTAGAAATTAATTTCACGCTATGGTTTAACACATCTGTAAATGCCAAACTAACAGCTATTCGATTTTAAGTTCGAGTAGTAGCTTATTCGAGCTAATGAGTTTCCAACTTTAAAAGCTATGTAAAGCTTGTTCGTCGTGTGCGATTACAGTTAGGAAGTTCGTGCCCTATTTTAATGACTTTATTTTTGGACGTGTTAGGTAAAGTATATTATTAGAAAACACCGCTTTGCACCTTTTGTTATCTTGTATCATAATCGTCAACCAGAATAGATTTATATTGTTGTTAAACTAGCTTTCGCATGCGACTCCGTTAGCGTGGAATTAAAATAAAAACTAAGTTTAAGTGAGTAGCCCATGTTCTTCCAGACTATCCTCTACATCTATGTCAAGTTTCATCGAAATTCATTTAGCAGTTTAAGCTTTAAATTCTAACAAACCATCTTTCTATCTAAACTTTCGCATTTATAACATTAGTAAGATTATGTTCTTCGTGTTAATATTTGTGTCAGTATTTTCTAATAATCGTAGTCTCTTGTTTTTCTTTTATATTCAGCTGTCAATCAGATTAAAAGAAACCGATATAAACCTACTTACAAGACGTAGAAATTGCAATAAAACAAACATCAATAGAACAGGATCTTAACAAAAGGGAAAAGCTGAAAAGGTGCGATAAGAAGCCAACAAAAACCTTAATTACCGCCTTTTTCTTTCGTATTTTGCGAGATACAGTCCTAAGCCAACAAAATATAAGTTGAACAAATTGTAATTAACAACAAGGTTCTGTTACTAAGCCGATAATCGGGGGAAAAGGTTCAAAGGAAATACTGATCATTCACAAGAAATAATGCTACTATTTATGTTGTTTTTTACCAATAATCCGAATGTTTTTATTCGACAAAGGCCACAAGAATGATTGTGGAATGTGTGCATAGTAAGGATGGCCGACGGGTCGACACTCAAATGCCGGGTACAGGACCACTAAACACATGGTATGGAAGACTTACCTACATGAAAGCGTCATGCGTTTGTCCTACAGGCAAGTAGAAACGCTTATTGCTATACCAGTAAAGGAATGCAAGGTTTTTTTTTTATAACGTAAGGTGGCAAATGAGCAAGCGGCCACCTGAATCGGCCAAAATGGCGAAGCGACCGCTGCCCATAGACATCCGCAATTGCAGATGCATTGCCTACTTTTAGCCGACAGAGGAGGAGACGCACATAAAGAGGATATTTCCCCTTTCTATGCATCTCCTCTACCGTCAAATCCACTTCCCGTTCCCATCCTCTCCTTATAAGAAAAGGGTGGTAAAGAAAAAGGGACTTAAATTAGGCCTCCGGCACCACACTCATCGGACGAAACACGGAATTGCTTCCATTTCACGCCTGTCTTCTGTGTGGTCGTGGTGTTACATCGGGCGTGCCGGCCCTGCAGTGCTAAGATGTTAAAGCGGGCACTACCACTGTTAAATACTGTCCTATTTTACTGGCATGTATATTCCGGGCTGGCGTGAGATCGAGAAAAGTGGAGATTTATCGTTCCTTGACTCTATTTACTCATATTAATAAAGTTTTAAAACTAGTTTGATAATGCTGGGTTGCTTATGTTTCGTTTATTTTATCGCTACCTAATGATTAAACTACGTGTCAAAGACGCTATACAAGAATTTATTGAATCAAAAAACTAACGAATGTTTAAACGTATCTGGGAAACTGGTTATAAGTCAGATTTACAGGTCACAAAAAGTCCCTTTATTTAACTTACTAACATTTAAATGACATCATCATCATCATCAGCAGCTCGCTATGCGTCCCCACCGAGGGGCTCGGAGCCTAATCTAAGTAAGGGTGACTAGGCCATAGTTAA